TTACTATGATTTAACTTCAACTACTAAATGCAACAATTTGAATTATAGGCCTAATTGAGATGAATGTAAAATATTCATAATTAATGTTGACACTGTTCCAGTTTGTACTATTATTTACTGTAAGTTGCTGTTGTTTTTAGCCCTGAGGAAGGGGGAGCAGGTCACCGAAATGCATTAGCTTTTGTTGACCCCTAAATAAACATTCTGCACTGCCAGCAAGATTAGTGCTTCCTTAACTTTGTTTACTCCTTTGGATATGAACGTTGCACCTCTTGCTAAATTGGATGACTTATGATTGTGTCCTCTTACTCATCAGCACACAAGAGTTCTTCATGCCTCTCAGTTGTCAGTTGAGCAGCCTGTTGCTAAGCATGAGCGAAATTGCTCCAACATTTTGGCAATGTCCTTTCATTCATTTTTTTTCCATTAAATTGGTCTGTAGGCAAACAAGTCTCATTCAGAAAGAAAGTTGAATGATATCCACAGAGCTCAGCAGATTATTGCTGGATAATCCTCTATATTTTTCACCACCAATCACTAGAAGGGAGGCTGTCGTCCACAAAGACTACTGGGAAGCATCCTCATAGACCATGCAAAACACAAACAGAAGGACAGCGCCATTTCCTCATGTGATACCGTTTATTGAATGCAAAAAGCATACAAGATAACAGACTACTACTCACATGTGCATATTAGAGACAAGCGGTATAACAAACCATACATGCAGGGCAGAGCCAAAGGAGCTGACGCTTATCGGGGTGTTCCCCCTACTTCAGGGCTCTTAATATATTGCTTGTCTTCAATATGCACATGTGAGTAGTAGTCTGTTATCTTGTATGCTTTTTGCATGAAATAAACGGTATCACACGAGGTAAGGGCGCTGTCCTTCTGTTTGTGTTAAACGAGTCTCATTCATTCAAATCTGAGCAGGTTAAGTGAGGACATTGGTGACTCACCAATGTTCTTACTGTTGATATTCAGTAGAGTAGAATGAATGGATTTTGTTTTCAAACAAAGAGTTCATTCATTGGAGAAGTGCACAGTGAAGGGATTTTACAAGATGTTCTCTACATGACAAAGACTTGTCAGTGATGTGGAGTGACAAAATGTTAGATGGCAATCATGTTTTTTTTAAAAGCCAAGAATTTATCAAAGTTAAATTAGTAGGAGCCTTACAGTGCTGATTGTTGGACAATTTTTATGAAAGTTTGGTGTCCATGAAATAAACAATAAGCCCTCTCGGGCAGGACCCACCCTATCGTCTTGTCTTGATTTGTATTGTAACTGTAATGTCTTCCTTATATTGTAAAGTGCTGCACAAACTGTTGACGCTATATAAATCCTGTATAATAATAATAATCATCATCATAATAATAATAAATGAAAGAAGTAATCCGTGAATTAAAAAAAAAAACGTACCCTTGCAGTGGGACTACCTCAGCACTCCAAGGATTGGCTTGTTTTGTCTAGGGGGCTCAAATAAAGCAGATATGCCCACTTAATTTTCAGTCCTGAGGCGGTCAGCGCTTACCTCTCTTCCCCACCACTCTGGCTGTGGAATGTCTCTCTGCATCCTCACATCTTATGTAAGTCAATGGACCTGTTTAGATGTGATGATAGCAGCAGGCCTTAGCCTGGGGTAGAAGAGGCTGTAGGGATCGGTGTAGCAGCCAGGTGGACTGAGAATCAAGTATGTGCTTTTTTTAACCCCCCTAGCCAAAATGAGCACTAAACCCATGCAGTGTGTGTGTGTGTGGAAAGCTCATCCTCATCCATTACCATAACATCGCTACAATACAGCTCATGCCCTCAAGATAATGAATCCCCACAATGAAATATTGGGTCTCTGTGAATAGTCCACAAGCATATGGCTGCAGTTGTAGCAAAATGTTAAATGTTTCCCATAGTACACAATAGAAAAAAACATATTGCAGGTATAAGGGAGTAAAAATCAGGCAATTATAATCTAAGTTCACCATCTTACTGTCCTACTGTCAAGTATGACATAAAGGTTGGAGGTGTACCCTAAACAAACCTGACCGAATAGAACTGCCTTGGAAACCATTGACAGCTTTTTGGGATAAAATGAAGATGGGATAAAGGTTAATGTTTTCTAAAGATTCCACAAACTGCCATAAAGTGTTTGATGTTCTCTGCTGTGAGATGATAATGAGCTGCAATCTGTGATAGGTGAGTCCAGAGGGAGTTTTGCTTTGTAAAGTTTTCTGATGTCAGTTGGTGAAAAGTACGAAGACAAAGCCTCAGGCGTCCTGCAACAGCTAAACAGGACGCTTTTAACGATGCGAAGGTCTCTGGAAGCTTCAAAAAGGATTTCTACTTTCCACAACAAAGCTGCAAATTTACAATATACAAAATCTGCACATCTTAAATCCATATAAACACACTGTAAAGCCTTGAATTGGGGCAGAACACTGTGTGCTGTGGGTGATAGGGTCTCTGTAGTCTGCATTGTAAATGTCAGAAGATACTTTCATCAACCCATATAATGAAACTGGCTACAAGAGACAGAACATTTTTTAAGGTTCCTCACAAAAGTTTTTTTAAAAGGTAATGTGTGGGAGGAGGGGTGGGGTGGGGTGGGGGGCATTGCTGCCAACTTTATGAAATCATTTACGGGTCACTTTGCCTGTGGCCACTTTTAGCTTATTATACATAATGTTACACTGGATGAGCTCAGAGTGTAAGAAGCTTAAATTGCTTGTTTAAAGGATGTGTATCTTTGGGATAACAACACATATTTATGCTGCTCTTTTACATGGTTAATTTAATACCTGAAGCCATATCATTTCTGGATAAAGCATGAGGAAGTGGAAAATACTGGGAGGGGAAAGAGATTGAGATGAGTGGCACATAGTATTATTATTATTATATAGGATTTATATATCGCCAACAGTTTGCGCAGCACTTTACAATATAAGGAAGACATTACAATCACAATACAATTCACGACAAGATGGTAAGGAGGGCCCTGCCCCTGAGGGCTTACAATCTAAAAGGGAGGGGGAAGTGATACATGAGGAGGTAGCTGTGTGGGGATAAATTGTTTGAGAACATGATGGTTGAGTGGTTAGGTTGAGGTGGGATAGGCTACATAGAATACATCACCTGAGACACCCTGTTGAGGGCATCCCATGTGTCCTCTGAGAGCCAACGGTTTGAAAGATGTTAGGCATGCCTTGTACCACTGTGGATGCACATGCTCCTATGTTACAACACATTTCCACCTTTGCAGAGGTATTTTTTTTAAACCGTATGCCTGCAATGTACACCGAGTGTGCATATAGCAGGCATATACAGTTGCTGTATATGAGCACAACATTTTGCAAAATGTGTGGAAGCCACACTGCCTCGTCAAGGCTCCTCTGTGAAGTGTGGTCCTAACTCTGATTTTTTTTTGAGTCTCTATATTGGAGCAATATATAGGAAGTTTATAAATTAAATGCAGGTATGCCTGGAGGGAGCCGAATCCTCCTTAAAGGTACAGGGAGGCCCAGCGTATATTTTGGATGACTGGGCCTCCAGTGTGTCCCTGTACCTGAATTTCCAGTTGAATACCATTCTAATGAAATGAGGACACCATACCAAGACAGCTGCCCAAGCATTACCCACCAGTACCTGTTTGGCCAACTTCAAAGACCTCAAACCGTTAATGCTGTTACTATGCATAACAACTACATCCAAAGCCAGGGTGAGTGGGTGGAAGTTCTCTCTTCATCTGATGATCTCCGACTGCTCCAGTGACACACCTCCTCCTCACATCATCGCTGAAACTCCTCCTAGCCTAGCCTCCTAGCCACCCTCCAGAAGGAAGGACAGTGTCAGCACCAATTCAGAGATGATTTGAGGATCTACAGCCGAGTGATACACAAATAAGAAACATTTTTGTTAATAGTTCAGGTTCTTGAATGCATTTTTAACATTTAACTCCTGAGTTTAGTGTCAACGTTGAGTTTATATGAGATTTGAATGATTGGGTTTACATGTAACATTTCCATGGAATTCTTCTACAACGGGGCCCTTTTTATTCTTAAAATTCCACTGATTAGTTACTATCTTTGTTCCCTATCTTGTGTGTTTCTTTGTGTTGTAATAGACTTTGGTTTTCTTTTACTGGTAGTTATAGCCCTGTTGTCTGCTTTTGTTTGGCAATGCATAGAATGGCACAAAAACTGTACAATAATATTAAGTGGCCCCCTTTGGCCTTTTCAAAATACAAGTCTCCTTTGCCTGCAGCTATAATTATGTTTGTTTCTCTCAACTGGCCAGAAGGAGGTTTGGCGCTGTGAATATTGAAATGCTGAGTGCAAAACCGCGTATCCAATTATAAGATACAAGTGTACTTCAATGATTGCCCATTGCATAGAGTTGTAGTAATGAGCTGTGAAGATACAGGGAATAAACAGTACATCACACAATTAGAATCTTCTCATTGCTGACAGATAGGTGATAGCAACCTACCAATGAACGTCGGCTCCCTATGAATGTTCATATTTGCATCCTGTATTGGTGGGATTAATGTATGCACATGATAAGGTATAGGGTTGAACTCAATGTTCGAGCCGAACGTGAGTTTGCCTCAAACATCGGCAGTCAGTTTTGCGGCAGCAGGTTCTATACATTGTACAGCTGCGCCACTTTACAGGCAGTTTAAGGGGACCCCTCAAGCACAATATTTAACCACCTACCGGCCGGGAGCTTCCTGGATGTAATAGGGCATCAGAGCTGAAAAGTGCCCGGATTTAAATAACAGGCAGTGATGCCTGTTTACATACAAGCGATCTGCCGGCTATAGAGCAGGTGGACATTGTATAACGTGCCGCTGTGTGGGCCCCTCACCTCTGTGGCCCCCACTCCCGCTGGTCCCGAGCTCCGCTGTGCCCGGTGCAAGCCCAGGACCAGCATGGGGGCTCTGTGAGGGGATCGGCGAGGTCAGTACACGATCTCCCTTTGATCCCCTATCCGGTGTCAGAATGCGGAAGTGATGTATGTTACATCACTTCCGCATTCTTGTGTCACTCTCCACCATCAGAAGCTGATGAAGCAGATCTCTGCTTCATCAGCTTCTTTGGGGGTCCCTAGGTGACATTAGGGGTCTTGGAGACCCCTGATGTCTCCATAAAGAGGACCTGTCACATCTCTGCTATCACATAGGGGGTTTTCTTAGCCCCCTATGTGATGGCAATAAAGTTAAGTGAACAAAAAAAATAGGAAAAAAAACAAAAGTTGCAAAAAAAGGAAAAGAAAATTTGTCACACATAAAAAAGAATTTTAAAAAAACACAAAAACATTTTTAAAGTCCCCACCCATACATACATGCGTGCAAACATGCGTCGGGTGCGTATACGTGCGAAAATGACGATTGCACCCATTAGGCTGCACATGTTATATATCGCTGTGAACGTTGCAGTGAGAGAAATAATTTTAATGCCATTAATCACTGATAACACTAAACTGATGAGCGGTCCCGACGTGACCCCGTCACGTTATAATTGGGTTATAATAAAAGTTTTATAACATAATGTAAAAAAAAACACATTTTTATTGTTACCCTTTAAGTGATGTTAAAATCTCTGCTCAGTATTTCAAAAAAATAAAAATGTTGTTGATTCCTGTCCCCCAGGGCAGTACCCGGATCCCCATACACTTTTTATGGCCAATAAATTGCATATAAGCCCTCTTAAAGGGGACAACTGTTTTTGAAAGCTCTACCCCCATAGACTTGCATTGAGTTCGAGTTCAAATTCAAACTTTTTTGGATGTTCTAAAGTTCGAATTCGAACCGAACACAGGGGTGTTCAGCCCATCACTAATCAGGTATAATATACAATTGCCAGTTTCTGTACATGTGTTGCAGCAGAGAGGTCATTTCGATGTAGTCAGTGTCTGGACCATGAACAAACTACAGTATACTCCCCATTATCCGACATTCAAGCAACTGGTCAAAAAAAACCGAGGACATAACATGTCCTTGATTTTTTTTTGCCCATGCCTGGATGCTCACTAAAAACAATTTCATTAGCAGCTACATTTATTTTACTTGCTAATGAAATTCTTGTTTACATCTTGCTGCCAACCAGCGCCTAGATGCTAGAATGTAAACAATGGGAAGCAATAGCCAGCCTGCTATAGACTATTTAAAATTGCAATAGACTTTGTACCTATTGTACCCACTGTGGGGATATAGCTTGAATGGGGGATCACCTTCCCTGGGAAAAACAGTCCAGGCAGCAAAGTTCTTTTTCTCTCTGAACACATCCAACATGTAGCTCTCTCAGAAGGCTGTCTGAGTCCCAGGCCAGAGCAAAACTATGTCTCAGCCTTCCCCTTTTATCTCACCTGGACAAGCATTCATCAAGCAATCAACTATCCAGGTGAGACCCAAAGCCCGAGCTGGACTATCCGGACCCAAAGTCAAAGCGAAACCCTGGTCAGGGTTCCGCTATTCATGCACATAGGATAGAAAGCGAGGGGAAACATACCGCCCCTCAATGATGTCCCCTCTCCTTATGTCACACCACCCACTGAGCAGAGGAGCGGACTTAAGAAAGTTCTCTCTCAGCTCCACTCCCCTGCTAAGTGGGCGGGTACAATAGCCAGCCTGCTATTGGCTATTGCAATTTACAATAGCAGGCTGGCTATTGCTCCGGGCTGCTTTCAGTCAGCTGCAGAAGCTAGCAAGCAAGTGAATGGGGCCACGATGGGGGGGGTCACATGTGCATCGAGCAAACTGTAGGCGGCTTCTCCGACACCCTTTGAACATGCATGTTACGTTCCATAATTTTTACCATTATGACTATTGTGAGGATCGGCGTCACCAGGCCGGGTGTCACCCGGTGCGCATGTCATTACGTATACAGGTGACATCATTACGCATGCACATAGTGACATCACACGCACTTCACTGCTGGTGATGGATGCCTGCAAAGAGAGAAGGGGACATTCATTAGACAGGAGTGTGCATTAGAAGCAGCAGCAAGTCAGATGAAGCTAATTTCCTGTCTGGAGACGTCCAGCCTCTTTTAGCTCTGTACTCTGCTGCTGAACTCCCAGGCCCACCGCTTTTATGGACTGGAGTTCAGTTCTGTCAATCATGGTGGTGGGATCAGCATTACATGGGGGCTGTTTTCAGAAAGCTATGTACATTCCCTCCCACCAGCCATGATCTGCCTGCACTGCACAGAGAAATATGGGCACCCAGTGATGACATCAGCGAGTGATTGAGCGTCTCACCCTAGAAGAGGAAGTGTTTTGCTGGCTGCATCACTAGGTGAAAATAAAGGAAAAGAGCCTGAAAAATGAAAACGAATGCAGCCACCGGGTCAGCTGCAATATATTACATTTTAGTTCTTGTCTTTGGAAAGAATTTAAGGTAAATTGAGTGGATGTTATGACTTTAGCACAGCTGCAGTGTTTCCCCGTGTAGTGCCAGCAGTGATTGGCTTTATTTCATGCTCTTTAAATGTTAATGGATGCATTGACTGTTCACAGCACATGAGGGCGACGCTTTGGCCTGACCTATAAGTGAGCACTGAACTCGGCTGTTCAAAGACTGAGCTGTTTAAATCCACTTTGCTCGCAGACCTTCAATCTGAAACTCTTGTATCTCCATAGGGACATCAAGTCAATAAAAGTACATCAACAACAGGAAACTCCAAACCGAGCTCCGTGTGGGCCATTTATTGATCGCCCCCCTGGTGGGGTTCTGTGCTTTCCCTCCACTGACATTCAGCTCTGGATTGAGATGGAAGAAGGAGAACAATGTTCGTCCGCTGACTAAATGTCTCGGTGTCTAGAAAAATGTCATCTGAGGACGATGACAAGGAGTGCTGTGTCCTTCCCCGCCAGATGCAGAGCCAGAAGAACATGGATTTTCACAAATGTCAGCATCTGCTCAGGACTGGAATATTTGTTTAGAGGAAATGTTTATTGAATCATCCGCCGACTGCTATACAAACAACCCCAATCCCTTCAAATAAACAGAATCGTCATTTATTACATCCAGAACTAGAAAGTATAACCAGTAAACATGTTTTATTCAGGTGAATAGGAATGATCTGTACTTTTATTTCAGCCAGCAGGTGGAGCTCTAGGCTCCTTTCACATGTTCACTTGTCTAGTCTTAGCCGCTCTGCTGAAAAAAAACAACTAAACTAAGAATAAGATATAAGATATCCGTTTTTTTTCTTCAATATACCAATATATACTACAAGGCAAATGCAACAATATCTATCTATCTATCTATCTATCTATCTATCTATCTATCTATCTATCTATCGGGCCAGATTTACTCTCTCTGCTGCCCCAATGTCAGGTTCCTCAATGCGCCCCCCTGTATGCAGGCTGCATACAAGTGACCTCGGTGACCTTGCTGAGGTCACTTGTACAAAACGAGCAGCGGCTTCCCCGCTGTACATTTAACCCTGATTGCCCAAAGCAGGGCTAAATGTAGAAAACAACTACCCGCCCGGAGCCCGGAACTGCATGTCTCAGGCATCGGGAGATAGGAATTCCACATCCCCTGCTGCCCCTCTACTCCCTGCTGCCCCCCGAGGCCAGGCCTTGGTTGGCCTTGTGGGAAATCCGGCTCTATCTATCTATCTATCTATCTATCTATCAATCATCGTACTGCTTAACGTGTGAACCGGCCCTAAGTCTCCGACAGCAGTAAAACCTGATGGGAGTTCTACTCCTTCCCCACTCTATCCAAAACTGAATTAAAGGTTTTATCTATAGATAGACTTTATAGGAATGCACAGTGTTTCTATATATTTGTCTTTCTTTCTCCCCCTCACTCCACTCATGTCCTACAGTATATATAAATCCTAACACTGAACTTCTCTTATTTCCTCCATTTAGGTCTGTGAAATATACAAATGAAAGCATTTAAAAACAATTGTGTGATAAGTGTAAAGAATACCTGTTGATCCTTCCAGAAATCTAAGTTTGTAACTGTCTGTGCTCTGCCGCACTAAATTCTCAAGCAGTGTCCTGCTCAGTTCTCCTCTGTGGATTACAAAATGTCTCCCTCTATGATATGGAGCTAAGGCTCTGTTGTCCTGATTCACTTCCTGTCCTAAATTTATAACACTGCTCCTCTATAGACGGCACAGAGTAAGCGTTGTTACCATTAGACAGGAAGTGTGTGACTGGCAGGATCACCAAATGAAAATAAAGGAAAAAAGCCCTTAAAAATTAAATGAATGCAGAGATCTGCAATGGCTGCTAAGCTGCAATATATTAATTTTTTTGGGTTCAGGTGCGCTTTAAATGATTCTAATCTTTAAATGTCTGGGTCTGCGATGAACTACAGGCGCAGAGTTTATGCAGAATCCAGAGACAGGAAACCTTCAAATTACATTAAGCGTTGAGCACATTCTGCTGCTTTTTATGAAGGCCAGTTAGCAGTTAATTAAAATGCAGCAGAACACATTCTGTAAAAGTGCTTATTGGCTGGAATAACGAGTCCGCCCTTTTTGGCAGTTTGCTGCTCCTCGTTAATAATCACATTTCAAGTCAAATTTTAAGTGTCTGTTTTTGCAATGCAAAACAGAAATGTCCTAATCGAATGAGGCTCGGTGCGTAATAAAAGGCAGCCGAGGAGATTGAAAGACATGATACATTTAATCAGCTCTAGTCATAATGAATATCTTAGGTCTGGGAGAGCTCCACAGCACTCCATCCCAACCACTCCTCATGCCTCCAATACATCCATATATAATGGAGGGTGGGCAGTCTGTGGGGCTCAGGTTGGGGTATGTAAGGGTTACACAGGCTGTGTCCCAAATGATCCCGAGATCATATTCTACATAATTCCTTTACCACTCACCTGTGCAAACAGTGTACATCCTGTATACTCGGCGATGGGACAAATGTGGAAAAAAGATAATTTTCAGTTCTGTGCACACATACATTATGTCAGGAAACTGCCAAAACCCATCTGTGATTATAACATACACTTCATTACTATGCCATCCGGACCATGTACCTCATCAAAGCCACCGGATAAACTGGGGGAAGAAAGAAACAATAATATTGTTTCCTGGTCTGTGAAAAATCTATCTACGGCAGGGGTCTCCCACTCATTTGACTCGGGGGCCACTCAACAATTTTTTTCCTCCAATGGGGGCCCGCTTGTCAAATTTCTTACATCAAAATAAAATGTAATTATATCCGGTATTGTACTACGGACCCCAATACACATACAGTAAGGCCCTATTCATATCTGTAGGTATAGGTGCAATTAGGGATTCCTGTGTCAGGAACTTGCGTTTTACTGCAGCAGGAATTCCTAATGATCAGGTGATGGCTGCTGCATGTAAACGCCTGCGTACCGCATGTAATTGTATTTGATATGATTACTTGCGGTTAGAAAACACTCTCTCTGGTTGCACAATCGATGCGTCCGGGGCAGTGACTGATTCCTAACCAAATGTAATCATATCACATATATTTACATGCGGTGTGCAGGCGTTTACATACAGCTGATCATTACCTTGAACAGGTGACAGCTGCCACTTGTAAACACCAGGAAAACGCACGTTCCTGATGCAAGAATTCCTAATTGCACCTAAAGATACAGGTGTCAATGTAGCCTAATACACCCCCACCCCCTTCCCCATACACATAAAAAAACTACCCCTGCACATATAAAATAATACACCCCTTCCCCATACACATAAACAAACCTGCACAGGCACATATAAAATAATACACCCCCCCCCATACACATTAAAGAAAAGCTAACCTTGCACATATAAAAAAAAGTACTACCCCTGCACATATAAAAAAATACTAACCCCCCCATATAAAATAATAAAAACCCCTCCTCCCACCGCACATCCATTTTGCAAGGAGGAGGCTGTGAGGAGGCAGATTGATCTCTGGTGCTCTAGTGGTGATTAGTAAGGTCTGCTCAGACCTCACTAATCCATTCTTTCGGCAGGAGGTCAGAAGTGAGCTCCAGCCGAAATAATCACAGTGCCGGGAGGAGCAGCTCTGCAGTCTGCATCCGATAGAGATGCAGACCGTGTAGCTGCTCCCGCAAGTCATGTATGCGGTCCGTGACCGCATACCTGACTTGTCACTTGGCTGCAGGCCACATAGTATCGGCTCGCGGGTGGCAAGTGGCCCGCGGGCCAATACTTTGAGACCGCTGATCTACGGTATCTATCTATCTATCTATCTATCTATCTATCTATCTATCTATCTATCTATCTATCTACCTATCTATCTATCTATCTAACTATCTATCTAAGATTGGTCAATCTATCTATATCTGTCCAAGATCGATCAATCTATCTATATCAATGCAAAAACTATCTGTCTGTCTATCTATCCAAGATCAATCTAGTGCTGTAACAATAGCCATAGCAGCCCATGTGGCTGCTATGGGGCCTGGGGTAAGTGGGGGCCCCATTAGAGGGGCTGATTAGGAAAGCTATACTGTGAAGTTTATAGAAGGGCTGAATCTCAGGATTGTCTAGTCACAGCTCCCCCTGTGTGCGGGAAGAAGCATTTGTGTATCTATTTTAGCAGTGTGGATTTATTGTCCTCTAAACTTCTGCTACGACTGAGATTACCCCTGTATAGATAATGCAGTCTCAAATCTCAGAGGTTCCTCCCTGCTAAAACCTTATAGGAGGACTGAGGTTCGTACTTCTACAAGAAAAGTTCAATGATGCTTGAGTTTAAAGAAGAACTCTGGGTAGAAAAAAACCTTAACCCCTGCAGTGGGGCCACCCCAGCACTGCGAAGGTTAAGTGCTCAATTTGGTCTGTAAAATAAAAAAGATATACTCACCTGAAGGTCGGCCTCACCTGGCTGCGACATACAACTTCCTGCAAACATTGTACAGTAGCCCTAATGTTTAACATGCCACTCTGGCTTCCACCCCTCAATTGACTAAATGAGATGCCGCAGGAGGCAAAAATCTCAGGTGGCCCCATTGTAGAGACGGCCCTGCTCTTTCTATTTCTATTTGCATTTCTAGCCAAGTGTGCAATGTCAGTGTATTTTATTACATAGCAACCTTTTAACTGTACTGTATGCATTGGTATTCCCGTCATTGAAACACACTGCTTCATCTGATTCATTTAAGCAAATCTCATACAACTGGCCCTGTAGTAAATACCTTCACGTAGACTTAATTAAATGAGGCTAGGGACAATTTCACTGACCTCTGTTGGAGCTGATCTTGCGTGTTTTCTCAGCGTAATTCCTTTACTTCAGAGAGAAGATGATTCCTTTGATGATAACACAAAACCGATTTAGAAAATGAGCTCCTTAAAGTTTCCTCTTATTTACTGTTCATCGGCTTAAAAGTCAATTTAGTTACAGATGAAAATGTTTTTTAATGCCTGTACAGCATGACCTTTTTCCCAAAACAGAGGAGATAATCATTGAACTGCATGGATTTAATAGAGTCTTATATGACCTATGAAGGGACACATGCTGCAAGACCCGATGTATAGTCCAAACTGATGATTTGCTGGCTGCAATATAACATTTCACTATGAACAACCATTTTTGGCCCAGCTCTCATCTAAAATTAGCGTATGGCCAGCTTATGAGTATTTGTGGGCTGTTATTGCCTCATGTGGGTGAGTAAATATATATCACCAGGTTGTAATAAAAGAGTTGAAGGAATGCATACATGACACTAGACCTCCAATGCTTTACATGCCCCCCCCTAATGGTGTGAGGGTGTTGGTGGCATGCAGTGTTTAGACACTAGGCTGGTGGTTCCTTTAAACCAACGTGCTGTCAAGACCATGTAAGACTGAAGTGCCAGACCTTACCATAATGTTAAAGTCCAAAATTACCTTATTCCAAAACAAGGTCAAGCAAAGGCTGTGTAGAAGGCTGACATATTGGGGGGGGGGCTAAACTACATTCATCAGGGCTTAAGGTGGCCATACACTTTACAACCCTTGCAAGACTTTTGTCTTGCGAGGGTTGTAAAGTAATTAAAAAAACGCACGATCTGCCCATCTTGGACAGGCAGATCGTGCCTGCGATCATCGCAAGCCCGCCCCCGTGAAGGGCAGGCTTCCGATGACTGCAATGCTGAACGGGCAGCGTGCGCACACAGGCCCGTTCGGCAGTGATCTCTCGATCATGTTAAAAACCAGCCGAAAATCGTACGATTCTCGGCTGGTTTTCCAACATGCTCGATATACAAAAGTCGTGTGACTGTACATTAGAAACGGTCGCACGCCTTCCATAAACTGCACGATTCTCGTACGATCGCGGGATTTCCGGCGATTCTCGTACCAGAATCGTGCAGTGTATGGGCACCTTTAGAGGTTAAAGAAGAAGAATCCAGGAGCAGTGGTGCAAACTCAGTGGCCAGTGATGCAATCATACAAGTATCATGTCACAGTAGTTGGCACATTTTAACGTCAATAGTAATAAAACAAGTCACCTGTCCCATAATGGAGTACTGGAGGAATGCGGAGAATGGTGCAATTTGTTTAAAACCAAGCTGGATATGTTTTGGTTGTAGCAACTGCAGGATAACTTGGGGTAAATCTCCCATCGTGTATCATTAAGAGGCTAATGTTGGTTATACACCAATAGAATTTAGTTTTGGAATATTCGGTCAATTTTTTATTTTGTAATGTTTGGTGAGATTATCCCTAAGGGTTCATTACTTCTAAAGGGATACAGACACTGCAACTTTCCTCGTCAGAACACAGAAAATGCATGAAGTGGTTATATTGAACTGAACCCTATCATTCAGGAATCAGTCTGGAAAAGATGATGTGAAACAAACAGCTTTATCACTGGAACAGAAATTGAAATCTGCAACAAAGAATGTTAAATCCTTGAAATGTACATTGATCACCCAGAGGTTTTTTTTTCAACAAAAGTAAAGTTACGATTTAATTTGTTTGCCGCTTACTTAATATCCATTTAAGACTGCATGGAGCTACCCTGTCTACAGGGTGACAACACAGCTGCTCAATTTCACTGCAGAACAAACAGAGTTGTCACCCTATTAAAGGAAGTGGAACTATTACAGATCTACTGACTGGATTAACAGGTAGTTAATCTTTAAAGAGGGAGAACTAAAGAAAAAAACTGCTAAATGTTAATACTGGTGGCAGACTGTATAATATATATATATATATATATATATATACACACACACACATATTTATTTTGCCCATAGTTCTACTTGAATTTAAAAATAGCAGTGCTATGCCAAGCTAACCATTTAACTAACAGAAGCCAATGTAGAGAACATGTTCTTCATTTGTTATAGTTATTATACTGATAAGCCAGGAACAGTAGTCCAAATTTCCCTATATCTCAGGCAGGGCCGGCTTTAGGCTTTTAGGCGCCCTGTGCGAGAAAGCTTTACAGCGCCCCTCAGTGACCACACACCCCTCAGTGGCCACACCCCCGTAACCACACCCATTTCCCCCAATATATGCACCATTTAAAGACTCCTATTTTGTTAAGCCGCAAAGAAACATATTAAAAAGTATGATAAAAATAAAACTTTTATTCAAAGGTATTAAACTTGTCGGCACAATATAAGTATTCTTATCAAATAAAACAACAGAAGGCAAACAATAAATGTCAAACTACAATAGAGTCTATAAAAATAAAGTGTCAGGTTGTCATGCCGATCCCTTTTTTCATGTTCAAGTGCATCTCGAAAAGTAAAAATAGAAAACAGAGCACGAAACCTAGACTACATGTTATATTAATGAATTACTATATGTCTGAATATACGAAAAATGTATTCGGGCGCATAATAATTTGTTTGAGAATGTGCGGCGGCCATGTTGGCCACCGGCGTGTTCTCTGAATGCGTGCCACCATCTTGGAGGCAGGGAGCATGAAAATATTGAATGAACAGGCTGTGATATAAATGTGTCCCCAGTTTTTTTACAAACACTGGAGTGATCAGACGATCGCTCCAGTGTTTGTCCTTCTCACACGGAGGATCGGTAAGTATCAATGATATTTACCGATCCCCCGCTCTGGTACGCACAGAGCCGCTGTCATCTTGAAACTGGCAGGATGACAGCGGCTCCGATCTCCTCCCCGCTCGGCCATCCTGGCAGCTGCCGGCGCGGATTCTCTCCCCCTTACCGCTCAGCCACCCTGACAGCAGGCAGCGATCCCTCCTGTGCGGACGAGGGAGCACTGTCACGTCGGTGAGGAGGAGAGCGGTGAGGAGGAGAGAAGCCACCCCGAGGATGAGCTGCGTCGGCCGCCTGGCGCCTTTGTTGCCATGGCGCCCTGTGCGGCCACACAGCTTGCACACCCCTAGGGCCGGCCCTGATCTCCGGTCACATGATGGTGATCCATTGGGAAATCTTGGAGGGAAAAAGCGAATGCATTAAATAAATTATTTTCTTCTGTTTTTACAAATGAGACGGACGTGGTCATCGATCAGGGCATCTGCAGCAGAGATAGTAGTACCAGTTTTAATGAGAAGACCTTATTGCAGTCTTCAAAATCATGAATGGGGACCACAATATTTGGAACAAACTATTCAATCTGAAAACTGTATTGAGAACACGGGGACATGACAGGAGGTTGGAGGAAAACGGGGTTCAATTTACTGTGAGAGTAGTAAAATTGTGGAACTTCCTTCAAAAGGTGGTGGTCTCCGATGAGAGATTTGATAAATTCATGAAACTTCTGGATGAGTTTCTTATTTCACTCAATTTAAAGGGATATGGGAAGTGTTAGAGCACGATAATACACAATCACATACACACACATAGGTTGAACTGGATGGACCCTTGTCTTTGTTCAACCTCACCTACTATGTTACTATGTTACTTCTAGTTATGGTGCTGACTGTGAGATCTGAGGGAAGACACTGCTGAATGCTGGGGCCTGAAGTATAAATATCATGGGGCCACAGACTGATCACCAGTGCACGGAGCCTAATATTTGTCACCGGTTCGAAGCCAGGAATATATTAGAGATGGATATTAAAGATGGATGTTTAAATGCCACAATTGGTAAAAAAAAATACATCATGCTTTTGTGAAGTGACCCTAACAACTACCACGTTTAAAGGCAATACTTTCATGTTTGACTGGTGTCGCAAATTCTTTTGTGAGTCAAGGTGGCATTTCATTATATTCCCCCAAATATATCACTTCTGACATGAAGACGTATAAGATTTGAAATTGCTGATATGCATGCTGTGGCTGGCTGCCTATCAGGCGGATGTTATTTTTAGATCGGAGTATTTATGGGTGAGGCAGCTGGACAGGATGAGGAAGTCCAATCAGTCAAATTAATGAATTGTGATTGGAATCCCCAAAGACATTGATGAACAACTCCTCTATCTGCCAGCTTCAGCCTTAACCAATTGTTCACTGGAATGTCAAACAAGAAATGCAGGATGATGTGTGTACATTGTGGATACTAACCAAACTATACTTCCCATTAGGTCATCATCAACCTCTTGGGTCCCCGGGTCTTTTTCTCCCTAAATCCAGAAAATTTTGTTTGTTTTGGCCATATCTTGGTTCTACATATAATCATATGATACATTTTAGCATTTGTAGTGTACCCTAATGTATTATCTTGTTTGTTTTTTTTAGGACAAATAGGGCTTTATTTTGGTACCACATTTGGATGCATTTTTTTCCCCTGGTTTTTATTGGGAAAATGCTTTTTTTTCCTTTTCACAATGCAATGTTTTCATAATTTGTACCCCCTCCGATATATTTACCTCAAAATATAATAAACAAGTCTGTTGATTAAATGATATCACATCAGTGTAACTTTTATGTATCGTAGTGGAATGGTAAAGCTTAATGTGAACATTTGCATTTTACATTACGCATTATTTTCCCTATTACGCTACATTGTGGTGCATGAAGGGAACAAACAGTTTTCAAATTCATAGCATAACATAGCATGACATTAAGTCAGGTTGACAAGGGCACAAATTAGAACAATGGCAACATTTTCACAGCTTTGCGATCCCTTAAAATGTAAATGCCATTGCATTCACTTATGTGAGCATTTGATGCTTGCACAGTAAATGCAAATATCATCCAGATCATCCAACGGCAATGTTGCATTTTTTAAAGCAACTCAACCTTGTGCCACCTGGCCCACAAAATGGCATTTACAGATTTCATGGCGTTGTCCTACACCTCCTTACCTGGGACAAAACCAACCTAATCATCAGTAACCCAAAATGATGGCCATGAGAGCAAGCGGTTTGAAAGAATGCACGTGAAGAATTTTTAAAACCACATTGAGAAGTGATATTCGTCTGAAGTTTCGGAAAGTTGCAGATCCTTTCCTTCATTAGTAATAAGAGCAATATTTTCCTCCAAAGTGTGGGGAGGAAACAGATGTGCAGCATGTAAGGAGCTCTAAGCATTGATAAAGCATGATGCCAGGATACTGCCAAACAGTTTGTAATATTGAGACGGGAGTCCATATGACCTTGGCTCTTACCTGGCTTGAGGTTTTTCAGGACTTATTGATATTCCTCAGAGGTAATATAGGTTCATCAAGTAGTTGGGCCTCAGCAGCATCTAAAAATACATATTCACACTCTGAAGATAAGCCTCAAACTCTCTTTTTCTCCTCTCCACATCAGACTGAGAGAATGAGTTTGAGGATTATAAAGCGAGGAAAAATATTCTCTAAAGGCCTTACACCTGTAATATAGAGACTCTCACATATAAGGATAGATAAGACTGGTACAAAAAAGGCTAAAGTTATAGGCCCTAAGACACAGCCCTCCTCCTTTCCGATTCCAAACACCCAGTCAAACAGGGGAGGACAAGATAAATAAAAACCTGTTGAAACCAGAGACGAGCAACACCACCCAGCCAGAGAACCTGGCATGAACCCAGTGCGTAGTAGGTGTTACATGAATCTGAAGAGGGAGAACAGGACTACAACAATTTGCAAGCTCTCAGAGGATAGTACACTCACCTCTATGCCTGAGTAGCTGGAAGAAGAGAACACAGGGACCACCCCACAAGGAATGGGACACCCATTACCCCACTCTTCCAGCCACTCCGCACCGTGGTTTAGGAAAAGAACAGCCACCCAAGCTTGATAATTATAGGCCCACCCTGAAATAAACCATAATGCTACTCAACCATGGAGAATGCCCACTTGTAACACAAGGAAGTAAACACAGGAAATCCCACTTAGGACACAACGAGCAAGAAATTATAAACCAGAAATAATAAGCATTAAACTATACCCAGTCCCCAATATTGATGGCCTAGGTAGGGAAACCACAAAGAGGAGGCACCACCATGACTTCAGACTGCACACCATAGGTAAGATGCCGACATCATGGTGCCGACTTTCTTGGCAGCTCCCCTCTCCCGATTCCCCCTCCCCAGCAGCCATATCACCTCTTCCCATCTAGTCTAAAATCAGCTGAGGCCCCCTAGTGCCAAGAATGTCGGAGTGTACCCACTACCCCTGATAAGAATAAGCAACTGAGCATCTTCCTGAGCATAAAGCTATGCATAGTCAGTACTGTATATAAGAGAACATATGAACCATACAGCACTTAGCAAAGGTATTTACAGCGTAAATATAAAAAAAACTTAGCAATAAAAGCCTTGGTGTCCCTCAGGGACTCAGTGGAGTCTGATCACCAGTTCCTCTAACATCATGTAAGACCATGACCTGGTGGAGGAGGGACCAAGGTCTCCTGTACAGGGCTCCAGAGAGTACACCCCGTGTATGCCAGTACCTCTAGTCCCACGCAGTCTCAGGTTTGGTTTCCATGTTCAGTCCACACCAGATAAGGACCAGCTGCCATTTTAAAAACAGAGCTGGGACAAACAGCTGTGATGTGACGTTTTAAAATATCACCCAGGACTTAAGTAGTTAAAAATGTCAAAACATCAGAGAACCCAAAATAAAATAATTGGAGGGCACATCCAGTTAGAAGTACCAGACAGGAGATCGAGTCATTTGACTCCTAGTTTTCTCCTAGTCAATCCTGTGTATTTCTCAAAAGAGTGCAGTACACAGGCCACAGAGTATTAGTTTAATCTTCGTAAAAAGGTGTAGGACAATCAGACTGTGCTTATCTACTGAAGTGATTGAGGTACACTTGAAAGTACAACTTTTGCGCTTAAAAACACAATGGTTGCAATTAATGAGCCCATAATTGTTAGTGAAAGGGGCTCTGAACTGTTGGAGAAATGGCATAAAGATTAGAATTCTCATGGCATATATCGTATAACTTATTCAAAGAGTGAATAGCTAGCTTAAAAGACGTGGGTTTTAAGGTGGATAACTAATTGCTGTTTTAAGAGGAAGTCACACTCACCTGAAGCTACAGACAGCTGACTGAAGAGTTGCAATCTTCTTAAGATCTCTCCACCCTCCCAATCGGTAATGCTATTATCACAG